GGTTAGCGGAAGCAGGGGCTAGCGGCGGCGGCGACCTTGGAGAAGGCGGCGGCGGCGGCGAGCGAGGTGGTGGGAGAGGCGGCGGCGAGCAGCAGCGGCGGCGGCGACCGTAAGGAGGGCGGCGGCGGCGGCGGCGGCTGTTGACAGCGGCGGGGAGTAGCGGCGGCGGCGGCGGCGCGTGGAGGCGCGGCGGCGGCGGCGGCTATTAGGGTTAGGATCGTGCTGCGATAGATACCATGTAGAAGGACAAGATATGGGGTTGTGCAACTCGATGTATTGATCGGTGCACCAGGCACGTATATATAAGTACAGAGGTGGGCCTCAACCTCAACTATTCAAGGAAACAGGAGATGGACCTTACATACAAATATACATGTACATAATATACTCAACATTCCCGTTATTGGGCTGTTAACAAATTCCTAATTTGGATGGGCAGTCTTGCCTACAATCGGACGGACGGTTCTCTGCCGTGCAATATGATGTGCACAAGTATCTTGATGCCCGCACACATGTCAGTCAGATAGACAGCATGCATCTTGCGGTCCTGCAGTCCGCAGGGGCTACAGATGGTCGTACGGCTGTGCATGCATGGTCCATGCAGGCACGAAGAGAGATTCCTTGCGCTGTACTACATGTGAAGAAGAGTCTTTCCTTTCCAAGTAGTGCGAAAAGTGTTTAGAGCTCATGCATTTCATTCGACTGATACACTCGTTAACTTTCTTCTTGCTAATGGTTTTTTTGCTGCAGCTGAGACAATCTGATGAGTCGATGCACCTGAGTGCATATATATATACTAAAGCTAGGAGGAAAATGCATAATGTATGGTGGGAAAAGCGCCAAAAAACCCGGATTAAAGGTGCAAAAAATAATAATGAAAGGAAGGCAGCTTCCAATTTCATTGAAACTGATAGATAGTTCAGCCACATCAACAAGGACGCATCTAAATCAGGTTCGACCTCATCACTACCAGGTGAGAATCCCACCCTCAAACATAACCAAGTCTGATAGCTACACAAACCAGAAATTAAACTAGCAACGAATGACAAAATCATAATTCGACGTCCAGTTTAACAACGACCATGGAAAACTTCAAAAAGAAAAAACAGCGACTATGGAAATAAAAGCTGCAAAACTTGATCACGGATTTTTTTTCTCTTTCTTGTTGTGCAAATCAATGACACAAAATTTGTTGTGAGTAACCCCGCAAAAGAAAAACTCTTGATGCAATTTAACATCGGAGACAGGTTGTCTCAGCTTGTACAACACAAATTATATGTACAGTACAGGACGAACATTCGAGAATACGTTTAGTGCACACACACACACCTAGCTGACTAATAGCTAGTTCAACAAGGAGGAAAAGAAGATTGAAAAGGAAGATAAAAAATACATACACACGAGATATAGCTAATTAAAGCTTGAGGTTGAGATCAAGCTGCTGCTGCCTCTGGCCGTCGTCGCCAGGGTGCGCGTTTGGCCATCTCGCCGGCGCCTTTGCCGCCGCGGCGGCCGGCCAGTCGCCGTGGTCGGGTTGGAGGTAGAGGTGAGGGTTCCAGCTGCCGGCCCGCTCCTTCTTGTGCACATTCTGGTGTCCCCCCAACGCCTGAGACTTGAGGAACTTCTTGTCGCAGAAGAGGCACGAGAACAGCCGCCTCGACCTCGCTTCGCCGTCATGGCCACCATGGCCGGCAGGGGCGTTTCCTTGAGCCCAAAAGGAGGTGGAGGATGGTGGTGGTGGGCTCATGGGGGCAAGCGTGAGGGAGAGGTCTAGGGAAGCGGCTCCGCCATGGGGAACCCAATCCATCGGAGAAGAGAGGGCCGGCCGGTGGAAGATATTTGCCGGCCAGCAGCTCTGCTTCTCCTGTAGTGGCTTTCACTCTCTAGCTTAGCTAGTTGCTGGAGTTTATAGATGGAAGCGTACCACTTGCTAATTCTGGGAGCCGCATTATTGCAGAGGGCCACCAACGTCCACCATTGGTGGGCCCCACCGGCTATAGCCAACCACAGAGGAACACCAGCCCATGAGAAGGACGTCGAGGCAGATCATGGCTACAGAGGTGGTGATTCTTGTCTATCATCATCCTGCTTTGTTGATCCTTATTCAATTGGTGAAAGGTCAAAACAGCACCTGAACTATGTTTCCACTACAACAATGATTATGGCCCGATCAAGGGATTACTGATTTACCAAAAAAGGGGGTTGTGAGGTCCGTCGACTCATGGCGGCATGCAGAAACTTCAAATCCATGCATGTCTCGAGGATAGATTGACAAAGAGATTGGGAGTAGCAACAAATCATAACGTTGGCTCGATGTTTCCGGGCCGCGATGGCGAGGGTGGTGGTCATCTCTAAGAATTAACGTTGTTGTGACGGATCTTCCAGATGCCCTAAACAATGCCAGTCATCATGGAGTGAAACTTCAGAGGGGTGGGGCCATAGTTTTAAATAGCCGGCTATAGCCTTTTTAGCAGGGTGCCGCTAAATGGCTGCCTTCACAAATAGCCCGCTATAGCCTGCTATAGCCCGTTATAGCTGATTTGGAGGCCCGCCGCTATTTAAAACATTGGGTGGGGCAGGATGGGGCGATGCTGAGTTCCGGCAACTTTGTGCATGAAAAAGACCAGAATTGCAATTGCCTGGGAGCTCGAGGCGATGGAGGCTATGCACCTTTTCATTTAGTTTTTGGAAGTTGGTCGATCAATGACCATAAAACTTCTGCAACAACAAAGTAGAATCTCAACCTACATATATATAAATAGGTGGTCACAATAACATGTTTGCAAACATATCACCTCAACATATAACCATACACAGGAAAATACACATCTCAATAAGCAACTGTCCGTGGGAAAAGTGTTCTTTAATCCCACTGTTTCAATAATTATTTTACCGATATGCAATAACCGTACCATAAAACCGTGTATATTTCAGTTTCACTTTCATGCAACCAAATCTCCCTAAAAGATATTGCAGCCAATTCTTGCAGGAACGCATGGGCCGGGTATTCTCTAGTTTCGTTCATACACAATTCATGGAGCATCGATATAGATACAATCATTTTAGCTATCTAAGAGCATACTCAATGATGGTATGCTATATACATTTCCCCCTTTTGTTTCCCTACTCCAAAGCTCAATCACATATGGCTCGTATTCCGCTGCACCCGCTTTCACCCTCATACTCAGGGTGGCGTCATCCGATCTTATTAGACAAGTAACTTGGGAAGATGTTTGATTCAAGCATTTTCCTAAAGGTAATTTTATTGACTCAAATGCCGCATCGAGATGAGACTGAAAACATTGAGTACATACTCGGCATGTGCATAACAAGACGCAAATTGCTAGGCTTTGGTATATATCGCTTGTCTAAAATGGATTTTTTTTAAAAATATCAGGACCTACTCGCATCTGATTTCATATTTTAGGAAAGTTAAAGGTAAAAAAATGTAGCTATGACACGTGGATTACGTGGGTAGTACTGTGGCAGGCTGGAGCCATTACTCTCACGACAATGTGCCAGGTGTTTTGATTAATTCAATGGTTCAATCACCGTGACTATGTCTCCAAAGCGCAGGTCCTTAGAGGCACGTGCATGGAGACTCTGGCTCCGGTAAGGAAACGGCGACAACAACACGTCGACAGTTTGTTGTGGTGACAGTAGCAGTCACTCGGTGGTCCAAGAGCCTCGATATATTTGATATTATGTTTGGGGTGCTTTGTAGTTTTGGTGAATTTTATAATAAACCCAAGCCTTCTTCGCGATGTATCATCAAAATCTCGACACGTGTGCCTAGGTTGCTTATACTTTTCAAGAATAGGATCTTCATCAACATCATTAGCATATAGAAGTCTTCTCTTTTTGTCGTCTTCGTTCAATCTAGCCAAGGTGCCAAGACCTGCATCTACCATATGTCGGCACATAACAAGAAAACCTACACATGGCCAAAAGGAGATGCCTCCACAAACGTACTCATCAGATGTGTCGCCGTCGGTTAGTACGTTCTGACAAGGTCTGAATTATGACTCGGCCTGTCCCTGCATGCACGCGAAGACACACACTTCACTTCAGCTGGCATACTTTGCTGAAGCCTCAGTCTATACCGAAAAAGGATTTCCCCCGCTTTGTATACAAAGCAACCAACCGAATCATACAGGGATAGGTGCTGGGGCGGAAGCAGCACAGTCACGCCCAAAAGAAACAACAAAGAAAGAGCAATAGAAACAAATGCCGACAACGGCGGATCAACAAAAACGAAGAAGTCTCGCGATCGCTAGGCCCACCGGGCTCATCCACTAGGCTCCAAGACTCCGAAGCGCCGGCACCAATCAACACCTCCAAGAAGGATCGCGACGATGACGACGCTGCTGCCAAGGGTTTCCCCCGGTACACGACGAGGCGAGAGGAAGAGAAGCCCCCGACGCCCTCCCGGAAGGACAGGCGGCACCCACAGGCGCCACCGCGCCGGAGTCGGCCACGCCGACAGGGGTTTCCCCCGATCCCAACCCGCACCTCGGGCGCTTCGGATGCCGCCACCAAACCAACCACCACCCTGCGCCAACGCGGTCGTGAGGCCTCCACGCCGTCTCACCACGGCACCGCGAAGTGAGGACAGCACGACGAAGAATCAGAGCCGGGACTAGGGCATCAGCACCATCGGCACGCGGGAGGGCCCCACCTCCACTGTCAGCGACAGTAGCCGTCCGGATGCAATAGCAGGAGCACACCAGGCCCGTAGGCCCACAGGCCCGGCCGAGCCCTCGTGGGCCCGTAAAGCTCCCGCCTTCGCGCTGCTGCCGGCACGCCATCGGCGCCGACGCCCCAAGTCCGAGCCGCTCCTCCTCCTCACCACGCCGCAGACAACGTGACCATGCCGGGGGGCCGGCCTGCTAGGGCCCCATCTGGGCCCGACGTGCCCAGATCTGGGCCGGGGGCGCGACGACGGCCACCCAGCACCCCCACACCGCCTCGCCGCCAAGGAGCGGCGCCGTCACCACGCCGGCCGCCGGCCGCCACCACAGGGCCGCCGGACCGCAGCCAAGCCGAGCTGCACCGCCGTCGCCTCCCTGCCCCGGGAAGGGAGCACGCGCGCGCGGGGACTGGAAGGCCCGCCGCCGCCGGCATCACCCGGGCCAACGCCGGGGTCGCCCGCCGGCGGTGGCGGAGGGAGATGGGGAAGGCGGGGTCCTGCGGGCGCGGGGCGTGAGCTCCGCCCCGGCCACCTCCCGGGGAGGCGGCGCGAGGCGGCCTAGCCGGAGGAGGGGCCGGGCGGAAGGGGGGCGGAGGCGGGGGGCGGGGCCGACGGCCGGCGGCGGCGGGAGAGGTGGCGGCGGCGGAAGGGGAGCGGGGGAACCCTAGCCGCGGGGAGCTATCCTTCGTAGCAGCAAATAGAGTGGTTGATCAAATGATTGAAGGAAAAGAATATGAAGCCTCAGTCTATAGTATACATCGTCCTTTCTAAGAAAAATATTATGCATCAACTGTGGCCACAGTGCTCGATCTTTGGCCTCCTGGACCACTGGACGTCGTACGGTTTGCATGCATGGCCCATGCAGGCACAAAGAGATTCCTTTCTCTGTACAGGTAAAGAAAAGTCTTTCATTTCAATTCAGGGAGAAAAGTCTTAAGAGCATCTTCGACAGGTGCACAAAAATTCTGCGCCCAAAAATAATTTTAGCGCGTCACTGTAACACTTTTAGTGCGCCGGACCCCAACATTACTTTAGCAGATGCCCAAAAACACTCGTCCAAAAGAACCCGCAGGGTAAATTGTGAAGCGTGCGCAATTCCGCGCCTCAAATTTGCAGCACGTGGTAGCGTTTTTCAACGCGCGCCCAACCCTTTTTTACACGTGTACTGTTTTACAGCTTCTGCTGGAGCTGTCCGGCGCCAAAAAAAACCTGAATTTTAGCGTGCGGCCTAGTTTTTGGGCGCCTGTTGGAGATGCTCTAAGAGCTCATACATTTCATTTGACTGTTACACCCGTTAACTTTCTTCTTGCTAATTTTTTTTGCTGCAGCTGAGACAACCTGAAGAATTGATGCTCCTCGGTGCATATATATAAACTAAAGTTAGGGGGGAAATGCATAATGTATGGTGGGGAAAAGGCCCGAAAATATGGACATGCAGATAAAGGTTCCAAACAAAATTGATAAAAGACAGCCAGCTTCCAATTTCTCGTGTTTTTTTTTTGCACATCAGCTTCCAATTTCATTGAAATTGTTAAATAGTTCATCCACATCAACATGGAAGTCCAACATTGAAATTGACAATCCGGTCCTCAAACATCACTAAACTGCCTGATAGCTACAAGACCAACCACGCGCAGCTTACTCGACGCACAAACCAGCAACAAATGACAAGAACACAACACAAAGTCCAGTTTCACAATGACCATGGAAACAAAAGCTGCGCAACTTGACCATGGATTTTTATTCTATCTTTCTTTTTGCGAATATATATCCGATAAATCGATGAGACAGATTTTGTTGTGAGTAACCTCGGAGTTGATGTAACGTATTAATCGTCACTCATTTAGTACACCTTTGTACTAAGGCCCTGTTTGGTTCATAAGTCCTAGGAATTTTCTTAGTCCCAACTTATAAGTCCCACGTCTCTAAAAAGTCCCTACATGTTTGGTTCCTGGGACTTAACATGGACTAGAAGACTATATTACAACTATAAGTCCCTGTAAGTCCCTCCTTGAGAGTCTTATTTCATAAGTTCCAAATGCCCACTTTAAGTCCCTATAAGTCCTTCCTGTTTGGTTTAGATGAGACTTATAGGGACTTTTTTAAGTCCCTGGAAA